GGAAATTAATTCATATTGTCTTACAGTGTAATTCATTTGCATCGTAGAAATTACCATGTAAATGACCAGGTTAATTTTGCTCTGGATTGCTTCCCTGCACCTTCAGATCGGAGATGGGTTCTGACTGTTTCCCTGTTCTTTGCTATGTTATTTATAAGTTCTTACCAAGATAATGTGAGAGCAGTTTAAAAATAAATATGTTTTAGTGTTACAGCAAGTTGTGAGTATTTTGCAACAGCATTACTCAAGTTAAATAGACAATCAGTAATATTTTGTAATATTTTAATAAAAAACATGCTTCTTCCGTACAGACATGACTCATATCAAAACCACCATCACTATACTCTCCAGAGCAGCTGCTAAAAGAAAGGAGAATAAATAAGAGTTCATATCTTGTATTGATTTATTATCGTGAAATAAAACTAAACTACGGTAAAATTTGATTTGAATGAGCAAATCTCATCTCTCATCCAAGCTCCCTTCTCTCCTCAAAAGTGAACAAGACAAAAGATTCTTAAACTCCACACTTGGGGCAGTAATTCATCCCCAAGCTGGAGTGGGCACTTGACCGGGTGAGGACCATGACCTCAGACTTGGAGGTGCTGATTCTCTTTCCTGTCATCTCACCCTCGGCTGCGAGATGCTCCAGTGTGAGCTGGAGGCCACTACCTGATGAAGTTATGAAAATGATTCATTTAACATGTTTGTGGTTCTCACAATAAAAAATACTTACTTGCTTGAATTTTAGGTTTTTTTGTGTTATTTTAGGCCAATTGTATAAATACACTATGTTAACATGAAAAAATAACTGTAAATTTAGACGTGAGGTTGTACTGAAAGCAACGATACCACAAACAATGCAAAGAAAACAATTTTTTAAGGGGAAATATAAAGGTAAAATCAAAAGCAGTCAAAAACGGCCAACTATACCCTGGACCCCAAGAGAATGTGGAACAGGGAAAACAAACAGGTCCAAACAATCACAGGATAACAAGATAAATGAAGTAAAACTAAATGCAAAACACAGGGAACAAAAGACTGCCAAAATAAAATGAGGCGTAACAAAGTAAACATCTTACATCAAGACATAAACTAAATAACTTCGAAGAGCATGTGTACAAGAATCCAAAACAGCTGTAACAAACTGCGGTTAAAGGAGCACAGAGAAATATTTGGACAAGCCCGGACCCAGAGGCCTGCCGCTAACATAGCCACCGGTTGACTGTCTGCTTGTGAATTATCTATGCTGTGCAATGATTCCTACATCTCAGTCTGTCTGTATTTTAAGCTAATTTAAAAAAAAAAAAAAAGATTTAGTTTTATAAATCTCATAGAGTACAGATAATGCAACAAACAGTATTACTTAACCAGGCAACATCTAAATTATAAATCAAACACAATGTTAATACCAGCAGCCTGACACTTTTTAGGTCCCTATCCTACTGCCAAAACAACTGTAACAGATCTGGGTATGGACATGCATGTGGGATCCCAGAGGGTTTTCTCTGTTCTTTGGCACCAAGGCGTTGGCAGCAATTCTGTGGCTTGTGTGGGATGTTGAACGATGTCACTGTGGGTCGAGCTTCTTTCAGTAGATTTTGGGACTGGGAAGAAACCTTGTTGGGTTAGATTTTAATCATGTTCCATGAATCAATAACGAGCATTTTTTGTGGCTAAGCTGAGTGCACTGACCTACTGAGAGGCTACTTACATTTAGGAGTACCTGCCGTGGTGTGCAAACTACTGCTAACAGTTAAAATGAGACAACTTCTTTTCCCTCTCAGTCATTAGTTTGACAACATGTTGGCCGCAAAAATAAAAAAAAGTGTTTTCATGTCACATGAAAGGAAAAAATTAACTATTTTTTTAAAACAAAATTTATATTTGAAAAAATATTAATGTATGTAGTTATATACAGTAAACAGTAAATGGCATATTTCTCCCTTTTCTGTCTAAAATCTCAATGTCATGTTTTTCCCTCAGATACAGTCTCTTCTTATCTTATTTCTTTACATGGTCTCACATTCTTTAGAAATCCCAGTGTCATCTCTGTCAGTAAAAGCTACGTAATGTGTTCTAATTTGATGTCTGCCAAAACTTGTCAGAACTGGTCTTTTTACATGTGTCAACACGCCATAACCACATGTTTGACTGCTTGTATCCCAGCAACCCTTGATCTGTCTCTCTTCTTTTCTTGAGTCTAAATTCAAACGTATTTGTGCAAGAAGAGACAAAACGGCCAAGAAAAAGTTTTAATGGTAATAATTATGAATCATTTTGGCAGATTGAGTTTAAAGTTCACCATTAGATACATTACAGTCGTCTTTTGTGGTTCCTAAAGCCTTCCAGAAGTTTTCCATCCGTGCCATCATTTTCAGTCACAAATATACACTGAAAGGCTTTTAGCTCTCCGTTAAGAGTGGAACCAGCAATTTTTTGACACTTTTTACCTCATTAATTAATTAATAGAGCCACTTGTCACAACAGTGACATTCACTCATAACCCCATAGAGGAGCTGTATTTTGGCCTGAATGTGTTTTCACCCACATCTGAACATCATGGAAATGTTTTCTTTTTGTTAATTTAATTAGCTGTTGTATGCAAATATATTAACATATATCCACATATACATGTACACCAAAATTTCTGATGTGCCATCAGCAGAAAATGAAGATTAACATGTTGGTGCAGAAGTAAAAATACACAAAATATTTACAAAATGCCTCATGCAAACAAAAATATAAAATGCCAACTTGTGTTAGTCTTTTTCACAACTTAATTTACTGCTACAATATATCTAGGGTATGAAAACATTCGGAATTTCTAAGAAAACAATAAGTGTCACTTTTTGTGAAGTGATTTAAGTCTGAATAATATAATGTAATTCTTATCCACAAAAAAGGCACGGTTGTATTCATATTTGTGCTGATGGGGAGAATTATGTTGTTGTTTTTTCCTGCATACCAAAAAACCCAAATATTGGCAGCCCCAAAAGGAAAGCTAGCAGGGTGGTAATAATGTTTTTTAACCATCTGGTTCAAAAGGCCAGAAATAAATAATAAGGACTCTGCAAAGATTCCTTTCAAGGAAGGTAAGGACTCCCTCCTACTCTTTTACTCTCTTTTCTTTAAGTCCAGAGTGTGTAGTCATCCATCAAAAGGCCATTTTTTTAGTGTGGATTTCTAAATGTACTTTTTAAATGTAAAATGCAGATTGAATGATATGGTAACACAAGAATGAAGCATATTGACTTTGCAGCTGAATTCATTAGGGTCACAGATAAACAAATAATATTTTCAAAATGTCACATTTACACAACTTTCAGACAAGTAAACAAAGTAATCACTGCAGGGTGCTAATATTTATTGCTTCTAACTCTGTCTCCTTATTATTTACATTTTTGCCTTAGCTTATGTATCAATGTCCTCAGTTTGTTTTTTACCCATAACTCAAAAGAATTATTTAACTCAGTTATTACACTTGTAGTTATTCATTATTTTCTTACGACAAAGAACTATAACAAATACTGCTATTCCAAATAAGTGCATAAGTGTTTGTACCTTGCAGTGACCCACAGACGATTTAAATTGTAGATGAAAGCAGGGAGCATAGACTCACCAGATTCCAGCTTATTGACTACCCTTGGAGATCCCTAAAAAAGACATCCACCTTGGTCCCTAATGGACATAAATGTCCATTCCCCAAAAAGTGCAATAAAAATATTATATATTAATATTTTTTTCCACTTTAAATTGGTCAGTCTTTTAAAACTACTTCTCCCTGAAATATTCATATAAAGTTTTAATTATATTTTCGTTGTTTTAACCCTTTAAATCCCAGTTTTACTTCATGAGCGCCCTGTTTTTTTAGCCCCCAAAAACAAAAAAACTCAATTTTTAAAAAAACAAACATTTGAAGTAATATTTGATTGTTATTATAATTAGGCCTTTAGATGGACTAAAGATTGGCACCAAGAGTCATTTCGATCGCCTTTTATTTTTTTTTCCAGGAGCGCATTTCATAAAATGCACACTATCGACCACGCCCAAAAAGTGCAATAAAAATATTAAATATTAATTTTTTTTTTCACTTTAAATTGGTCAGTCTTTTAAAACTACTTCTCCCTGAAATATTCATATAAAGTTTTAATTATATTTTCGTTGTTTTAACCCTTTAAATTACAAAAAAACTAAAAAAAAACTAAAAAACTAAATATTTTCCCAAAAAAACATTTGAAGTAATATTTGATTGTTATTATAATTAGGCCTTTAGATGGACTAAAGATTGGCACCAAGAGTCATTTCGATCACCTTTTATTTTTTTTTCCAGAACCAGAAAATGGTCTCCAGGCGGCAAATGCTGCTCGTCGAGGCCGAAATGAGTGCATTCTCCCGGGTTAACTCGCGACGATGATCGGGGCATGTTGCGTCGGACTCCTTTTTCCAGCGCACACTTCCGGTACCACGTGACAACAAATACGTCATTTCCTGTTGACTAAAAAAAAAAAGCACCCTCTCATGGTCCTAGGGACCAAAAAATGGTCCGCCTGATCAGCGGGCGAAGCCGCTGCTGCACGCCGGAGATGAGGCTTCATTTCCGGCAGGTCTGTCCAAGCAGCCCGCTGTTTTCCAGCAGAGGTCAAATGTGAAGCAAGGGCGCCACCCGGTGGACAAATAAAAAAATTACAACTCTAAGGCCTGTAGTCCAAAACGAAACCTAAGCTGAGAACCTGACGCTCCCTTTGACCGTAATTTTTCTGGCGTGAAAAATAGCGTTTATAATGGGTTTCAATGTGGACATTTTTGTCCAAAGGGACTAAGGTGGATGGATTGCTGTAACTTAGCCATTTTAGGCTGATTTAATGAATTGACACCACAATTAAAAAAAATAAGTAAAAAAAACATTCTTTGACAAATTTGGCTATATTCCACTCAACACAGTGAAGATGGTTTAAAACTAAAAATGAAAAAGACAATAAATGTCCTTAGGAACCTCCAAGGGTTGTTAAATCAGGGAGGTGTCTATTTACTGACAGACAGTTACACCAGACATACCCTCACTCGGCGCGCTACATCTACTGATGGTGTCATTAAGGTGAGTATTTTCACCCATGTGACTTATATAGAAATGCTGGGATTTCTGGGACTAAGTCAGGGTGAAGATTAGTTCAGGTTGAGTGTATGACTCACGTGTTACATTGTAAGAGTCGTTTGTGGGCGTGGCACTTTGTGAGCAGAGCTTTCAAGGTGGTATCATCAAGGTGTTCCCAACATACCGTAATCCATTTACTAGAAATAATCTCAGGATGAATATATATACATATCTCTATTCACACATCACAAACAGTTCAGTACCGACCAGCCACAATGTTAAAGCCACCTGCCTAAAATTGTGTAGATCCTTCCCATTCCACCATTTGATGATGTGAAGCCAATCAGAAGACACATGACTGAGAGCGAGACTTACTTCTGACTGTGGATAACCTGAATGTCTGCTACATGGCCCAGTATAAGACAAAATAAATATGAATATAAAAAATAATTATTATATTGAACTGTTATGAGCTGGAAATGATCATGTCATGATAATTTCCCTGTATGTACTTTTAAAATGACGTATTAATCACCTGCAGACTGAGGATCCCCTAAATGTTATCTAACAGATGGTGTGAAAAACAAAAACTTGTTTCACTGTTGTGGCTTAGATAAAAGCTGTGTTGGTATAATTTGACAGAAGAACAGATGTGCATACTTTGGCTGGGAGGCATTCTCTTAGAGAAATTTCAAACTTTGACCCCTGTGCTATAGCCATAGGGCTGATAAACTAATATATTTTTTCATTTTTTACTTCTGTATATTTGAAAATCTTAAGAAAGTAGGAATTCAAATATATATATGCCTTGTCCTCATAACACATTTTAACCATTGAACCATTTTTTTCAACCTGCGGCTACTATAGAGTGAAACCACACTCTGTATGGGAACTCTCCCTTCTTTGTTTTCATAAACATGAAATGACAGTAGCATTTGTAGTTCTGTTTGACTTTCCTGTTGAGCTGACCTGTGGAGTTTCTTTTACTAAAAATGGGAAGTAATTGGATAGATAAAGTGCTTTGAACTTGGTGCTAGAGAAGCAGTAGACAAGTGGGTCGAGCAGACAGTCTATGTAGGAGAGGACCATGAGGCCATCAAAGGCCACTACAGCTTTGTGCTCGATGTAATCAGGCATATCTTTGACCCGAATGGTAAGCAGAACCATCCTGGCTATGGTGCAGGGGAGGAAACAGAATGAAAAGAGCACCATGACAGCAGTGACCAGAAATACTGCTCTCTTCAGCTTGGTCCTATCCCCGACTGTTTTTTTCCTGAGTCGGTTGACGATGCGCACAGTGCAGTAGAGCAGGATGACAAACGGGATCAGGATCTGAGTAAAGATTACAGTCTCTCTGATGCCATCCACCACATCCTTAGATAGGGGGATAAAAATAAAAGGGAATGTCAGCAGTCTAACCTCTGTTTAAAAATCACTTTGCATGACTGCTGTGGAGGATTCCTAGATTTAAAACAAAATTAAACTCTTATTAAACTGTTATAAGTATTAAGACACAATGACCTTAATTTATGCACGTGTTGTCTACAGTAAGAGAGAATAAGGCATGAAACAAGTAAGCATTACCTTGATCACGGTAGCATTTTCTTTAATGAGGCTGTAAGAGCAGTCAAAGTTTTTGAGCATGGTGGGGATGGTGAGAGGCAGAAGCAGCACCCAGATGAGGACAGAGATCTGTGGAGACTTCTTAAGCGCTTTTAGGGGACTTTTTCGACCAGGGTGCACCACATGAAAATACCGATGGATGGAAGTTGCTGTTAGGAAGGCGATGCTAGCTCCACGGTTTAAAAACAACATGAAAAGCATGGCTTTGCAGACAGCGTCATTGTTACTATTTCTAACTCCCTGGATGAAGGTATAGGCCTTTATGGGCAAGCAGATCAGCAGGAGGATGTCAGCCAAAACCAGGTTGAAGAGGAAGATATTATTTGTGCTGGATTTCCAAAACCTTAGCTTGAAAATAAAGAGGTGGATGACAGATGCATTCAGAGGCAAAGCCAAGATAAAAATCACAATTATTGCGGCTGCATAGAACTTGTACACTTGTATCTCGGCAGCTTCATCGTCTTCAAGAGGTTGTTCAGTTCCATTGGTGCTTTCCATTTTAGCAGTCAAAAAACAAATTGCCTGGGGGTCAGCAAATATTAATTCCAAGCTTGAAAACAGAAACAGATTCTACCCTGGAAGCATAGAGCAAAGCATTGTCTCTAAAGTGAAGAGGAAATCACTTCAAAGATCGAGTTCCATCCTGCAATCAAAACAGAAGAAATCCTGTCAAGCAGGTTTCCTCGGTGTCTTTAGTTTTGGTCCTTTTTAAAACTTTAGGTTTCTTCTTTCAGTCCTTGAGTCATTGCTACTTTATGTCCTTTCAGGCGAAAGTCAGTACCAGTTCCAGTTAAATCTGGAAGTAAGTCAGTGTGCAGGTACAGTAGGCATCTCTTTTGTACTGCTGCTCTGCCCCCAGTTTGTAGCTCCTCCTTATTGCATGAGGGGGTGAGTCACCAGCTGTTATTGCACTGTTAGACCAACGGGACTTACATAGACCAAAACTCACTTGTAAAATAGATATAGAATATAGAATACAAACAATTCAAACATCTAACTACGAAGCAAAAGCACCTTTGTTTTTTAATCATGGCATGTAAACAAACTTTCTGTGTAGCCTCGTTAAGCCCTGACAAGGTCTGTGTAACCAAGTTAAAACAAGCACTGATAGCACCAGCTTGACTTTTGACAGCGTGACAGCGGTATGGGGAAACATTGTGGGAACATTTCAGGTTTTTGAGAAAGAATTAACCATCTTGCCTTTGCCAAGCTACTGTGTCACTTAGTTTATCTAGAATGACAGCTGTCAAGCATCTCAGCTCAGAGATTTTTGCGTTTGTATCACTTTTAAAAGTGCAGGCCTCTTATGCAGATGCTAAAAATGCTGCTTGGGGATGTTTGGGGAAAAACACGGGGTGGGGGTGGGTGGGGGGTGTATTGGCCTTAGGCCTCACTTTGCTCTGCATGCCTTCACTGCTTCAGCAAGTCCAAGCATCTCTAAAGAGTTAGATTCTCCCTCCAGGGTCATTGTGAAAACAATACTATTCATGATTTTAACAAGACTGGCTGAAAGACAGTTTTAAATAGTCTTTTAACTTTCTTTTGCTATCTTTAATTTTTCTTTTTGTTTAAAAACATATAAAAAATTAAGGCATAATGTTCTTATGATAAAAGTATCTTGAAAGAGAGAACACTGTCAATAGAGAACTTAGATGTAGATGCTTCTGCTTTTATAAAATATTGAGAGCAATACTGTAAAACCACGTGATCAATGTTTTTTAATCAATATTTGTAGCCTGTCAGACGTTAACCTGCTGTTTCCAGATTTTCAAGCCCACTTTTGAGTCCACTAGCATTCAGTTGTAACGTTGTACTTAAACTAACTAACGTTGATTAGTTTGATTATATTCAATTCAATTGAATTTTATTTATACAGCGCCAAATTACAACAACAGTCGCCTCAGGGTACTTTATATTGTAAGGTAAACCCTACAATAATATATATTGAGAAAACCCCAACAATCATATGACCCCCTATGAGTAAGCACTTTGGCGACAGTGGGAAGGAAAAACTTCCTTTTAACAGGAAGAAACCTCCGGCAAAACCAGGCTCAGGGAGGGGCGGGGCCATCTGCTGCAACCAGTTGGTGTGAGAGAAGGAAGAGAGGACAAAAGATGAGCTGTGGAAGAGAGTCAGAGATTAATAGCAAGTATGATTCAATGCAGAAAGGTCTATTAACACATAGATAGTGAGAAAGGTGACTAAAGAAGAAATACTCAGTGCATGATGGGAATCCCCCAGCAGCCTATACCTATTACAACATAACTAAGGTAGGATTCAGGGTGCCTCTCACACTGTACAAGTCACCGACCTTGGATTTAGCAAAACAGCCCCAGACCATCAAACTTCTTCCTCCATGTTTGACAGTTGATGCCAACACTGTGGAACCATCCCTTTGATACTCGATGGCATTCAAAGATCCTGCGTGGTGAACCGAAGATTTCAAATTATGATTCATCAGTCCAGAATACCTTCTTCTAGTCTTCAATAGTCCAATGACAGTGTTTCATGGCCCAGGCAAGCCTCTTTGTCTTATTCTGACATCTTAGCAATGGCTTTCTTGCTGCAACTCGTCCTGTCAAACCTGCAGCTCAAAGTCTTCTCCTCACAGTTGAAACTGAGACTTGCTTACCACGACCACTATCAAGGCTGTGCTTGAAATGGTTGTCCTGTGAGTCGCCTATCATGTAAGCCGTTAACTCTCAGAAACCTGTCCTCTGATTCAACTGTGGCTTTGGGTCTGCCAGACCTGTTCCTGTCACAGTTTGCCCCAGTTTCTGAGTGCTTTTGATTGTGAAGGAAACTCTACTCAGTGACACCTTGACTTTCTTTGCAATTTCTGTGGAAGAAATACCTAAATTTTTTAATGTTATGAGGGTCTTTCTTTCTTCCATTGTTAATTGCCTTTTTCTCACCATTTTTGTAGCATCACACTACTTTCTGCAGTACAATACTGTTCTACTGGTGCTCACGAACATATGGTACCAAGGTGTGTTCCAACACTACTTTTATCCAGGCAGAGTAATCCAGGCAATTTGAAACACCTGTAGGAATTAGTAGCACCAGCTTTTAAGGCTTGGTCAACCACAATTGCTGCAGAACAGCTTTAATTTGTTAACCATTTTGTGTTCCCTGAAAAAGGCCTTTTTCAGAACAGTAAAACCAGAGTTAACCCTGCATGCTGAAGTGGCAACCCCTAACTCTACTCCAGTAAATTTAAGTAAATGTTAATGCTTGGAAAAATTTACTTCTAAAAGTACTTTTATTGCACCATTTTCATTTACTCATGAGCTGCTGTAACATGAATCAAATGGCTGAATTGCCACCTCAGCATGCAGTCAAGTTCAATAGAGCAGCGGTACCGGGGTACTGGTTTCCAAGGTTTTTATCGTTAACTTGGTTTCCCTGGGTCTTTTCCCGTGTTGTAGTTGTGTATCTTATTTTGAAAGAAATATTTATGCATTACCATAGCGTCCAGAGAGCATTAAGGGGCAGAGAGGAGGATGTTACTGTCAATGTTGTTGGTGCATTTCAGGAGGACGCTGCTAATAAAGTTACACAATAACACAGTAAATTTGCATTTATTATTATATTTACAAAATACCACACTTTTTGTCTTGGTTGTATCATTTTATTTTGTTGTATTTATCCGCGACACCTTAAAGGCCGGTCCGTGAAAATATTGTGTAGATTGGGTACATAGCCCCAAGTGCGATAGGAGAAGGATCGTTGAGTGCGAGGGGAACTGACCTGAAAAATAGGATCATGGCCAAGCTTGAAACCTGGATCCCCCGTAGCCGGTTACCAAGATTACGTGAAGTACCCTCAGAAGGTCTGCTAGATGATGTTAATGCAGCACTACGGTTGCAGTAGACGGCCGTAGTGATCGATGTAGCGGTTCCGAATGACAGCAATATCAGGAAGAAGGACCACGAGAAGCTGGAGAAATACCAAGGGCTCAGAGAAGAGCTCGAGAGGATGTGGAGGGTGAAGGTAACGGTGGTCCCCGTGGTAATCGGAGCACTAGGTGCGGTGACTCCCAAGCTGGGCGAGTGGCTCCAGCAGATCCCGGGAATAACATCGGAGATCTCTGTCCAGAAGAGCGCAGTCCTGGGAACAGCTAAGATACTGCGCAGGACCCTCAAGCTCCCAGGCCTCTGGTAGAGGACCCGAGCTTGAAGGATAAACAGGGGCGTGCTGGGTGTTATATATATATATAAACATAAAAACATTGTTATACACTTAAGTAGCTTTTAACAATGCTGCAATTATTAGTTTTTATTGGCATGTAAAATTCTTGGTTAAATGAATGAAACCACACCTGTACATTCTTTACGCCACAAACTATTGATTTGACAGCTATTCTGCAGCATTGCTTAACAAACTGCTTCACATTGGTTAAAGAAACATGTTTCACAACACCAACTCTCCCGCTTGGCTTTTGAAACACCTTGTATGGCCTTTTGATGCATAACAGAGGGGAACCTTGTGAAACTGCAGTATATCTGAGGCATACTTCAATAATTATTTACTATCCTGCATTGATGAAAAGCTAATTTTAGTATTCTTTGAGCAGTGAACCCTGCTCACTCCTTCAGTGTGTGGGTTGGAGAATTGGTACCACTGATGTTACATGGTCGATTGCATTAAGGATCTCTGTACCTCAACAGTTCTTTCACATTAAATTTAGTTTTTCAGTGCAAGAGTTAAAAATATGACAATAATGTGGAAGCTGATAGTTCACTTCCTTTCATTTGGGAAATTACCACTGATGACTAATCCTCATTTTACCTGTCAAAGACCATCTGTTTGTAATTGGTTTTCTGTATTTATTTGAAATAATTGAGTATTGAGATTAAATTACATTCTGGCATTAGTCTGCAGTCTCATCTACTGATGATTACTTTGTGCGTTTTCAGCTGTTGGTACTTAGCTGGACAAGTTGCTGCCTGTCAGACTGGAGATAATTAACATAGCAGCTTTGAAATTTAGTGTAAGTAGGCGTGGTAACAGCAATCCTTATGTGACAGGCAAAGATTTAGTCCAAGCAAACAGCCTCTTGGTATAATAAAATTGTAGCTGTCAGTGATTTTAATAGAGATTTGAAAGATTGCAGATTGCAGGTGAACTTATCCCTAAACACTCAAAATATTATGTCTGGAGGTGCTGTCGCTTCTAAAGCCTCAAAGCTTTGTCAGCCTTAAAGTATTACAAAGCAACAGCTGCTGGTAATTGACTGTTCATGTATTTTCTATCACAGGATCCTGGGAGAACACAAAGTGAGCTTTAACTCTTGACTCATCAGGAAGTCGTCAGAGAGAGGTTTTAAAATCTGAAATATTATTTATCTTTCCTCAAACCACAACCGTACATTTGGTCACTCAGACCACATCACTTTTTTTTCCAGAGATCAACTGCTAAACATCAGACAGTCATCTCAAAATAGTTTTTATCCTTTTTTCATAAACCTGGAAAGTTTTTTGGAGATTTTAGTCAAGGCACAGCAGCTCTCTGTGGCGCTCGAAGGAGACGCAGACGGAGGACCCGCGCTGGTGCACTGGTGAAATCACGTTGGCATTCCGCACGGCACTCCCCTCCATTCATCTTGCGAATCTCTGCTCTCTTCCAAACAAAGTGGAGGAATTACTGCTTTTAAACCGGGCTAACAAGGACTTTGCACGCTCTGCTGCCCTGTGCTTTACTGAAACCTGGCTCAATGAACGAATCCCAGACGCTGTCTCAAATGTGCCAGGCTTCCAACTTCACCGGGCAGACCG